AAAAAAGCCGGAAGTGGCACTGTGGCTCAAGTGGTAGAGTGCTAGCTTTGAGCTGAAGAGCTGAGGGACAGCACCCAGGCCCAGAGTTCAGGCCCCACGACTGGACCCAGAAAAAAGCCCCAAAAACAAAAAAAAAAGTTGTATAATATCTGTGAACACACAGAATTTGATAGGCTGATAAAAACAGACTAAAGTCTCCTTTGGAGTTTTCATCCTTCAAAAAAATATTCGAGGTGTAACATACAACCTATGCTCTGTAAACCAAAACCAGGACTCAAAAGCCCTGGATAATTTTGGGGTGAGAGGATTAGTTCTGTCTCTGAATATTCCCTTCAGAGAACAGTGGTGAGTGAGAGACATAATGACTACTGACAGAAAACAACTGCTTCTTTCTATTCAGTGGGAGACTCTTGAGGGAAAAGGCTCATCTTTATAAGTATGGCAATTAGACAAATGCGTGCATATGCGTGTGTGCGCACATGCGTGCGTGTGCACATGCACATACTCACAGAACTGACTTTTGCCCTGGATGCTGATAAAGTCAGGGAAAAAAGTGGCTGATGTAATCCTAAAGATGGACAGAATACGAAAAGCCTCATTATCCACAAAGGGATAATGTCCCCTTGCTTCCACTCTGGCTACAGCTAAACAGAAGCCTGTGGCGGAGGGTCTGACCCTGAGTTATCTTCATGTGCAAGTAGTCTGACAAGCAGTAGATTAGAAAGGAGTTTAAACTTGAGGGAAAATTCCAGAAAGCCAGTAGGAACATAAATGGACTTGAGAAACAGTACTATATTGTACTTGGAAATAATATTCAGTATTTATCTGGAGCATCTATCTTATAATGAAGTAAAATAAAGAATTTCCTGAAACCGGAAGGCTGTAATCATCTGAGAAATGAGGACCGACGCTTGGATTTAATCACCATGAATGATGATAGACAGGTTTGCCCCCCCACCCCAAATCTTATCTGTGATGGGAGCATTAGCATGCCAGTTACACTTGGAGGTCAGTATGCCACATGACAAAAAGACAGTCTTGTGCCAGTAGTTTAAATGTTGGGGCACCAGGCCAAGGAGGTGCACAAACAACCCCAGTAGTGGCTCTGAGCTCACTGTGGGCTTAGAAACAATTCTCAAAACTGAGCCAGAAGCTGAACTACAGCCCTCATGGGATAAAAAAGTGAATGAAGTTAATTAGAAGAAGAAAAAAAATTGAGGAAAAGAGATTTTACTTAAAAACAAAACAGACAAACCCCTAAACTCTGCATACAAAAGTTCAAGGTCCTCAGACATGCATAAAACAGAACTGATGGGAACATGGGAGGAAGGAAGGGCTCCATACAACCTTACAAGCTCAGTTTCGGAGCTGAGCTGCACGTGAATGATAGAGCCTGCTTCTTCCCTCCACTGGGGCCCCAAGCCCAAGGCCCATGTGAATCAGCATCCGTGACAGGTATCTCAGGGACAGAATTTCACAAGCACAGAACATATTTCTTCTCCCTTGATTCTGCTTTCTAGTTTTCCTCTCCCTCTGCTATTGTTTAATTTTGTGGTTCAAGTTTCTGAAGAATGGGGGGAGGTACTAAGTTAAGCAATGCTCTAAGAATGAGGCTCAGCTGCAGTGACTAGAGTATCAAAACTGGCCCCCCACATCCTTCAAACCCACTGTGATTCTGCTGAAAACAGATATGGGATATGGAGGCTAGGGGAGGCAGCAAGTCTTCCTCATTTTCCTAAGAGGCCTGTGCTTGGCCACAGAAGGTCTAGCCAGTGAACCGCCTGCTTTATCTATACTGTGCTGTCTTCTGGTCTGGGTTGTTTCTAAATAGCAGCCAACATTCCTACCACTCGGCTGCTTTGGGGCAGTTTTCTGTTGATCTTTGTGAACCCATTAGTGAAAGTGATTGAGTGGTTAGATCTGGCACAAAATTATCCTGATGGAAGAGTGTCAGAGCTGAACGTCAGTAAAGCTCTGTCAAAACATTCGCCAGGGAACAAGAAAAGTCACTGCAGAAGCGGATTTTAGAAAGCACACGAGGACACTCAAGTCACAAGGAGCCAAGATAACTTCCAATTCTTTCTTCATGATTGAGCAAAAAGCCTGGCTGATTGTTGGCTAACATTAAACATCTGTAGATCTGTAGATTATATTGGTCAAGATCATATATTGTTAATATATGATGAACATAATTGGATTCCTGGGAATAATAGGTAACTATTTATTTATTTATCAATATTGGGGTTTGAACTTGGGGTCACAGGGTGGTTTGATACTCCTGAGCCACTGCTCCATCCCTGTTTCTCACCGACTATTTTAAGGATAGGTTTCCATTTACCATGGGAAGTGAAAACCTATCCTTAAAGTAATTGGTGAGAAACCCACCTACTCAATGTCCCTGGATTCCCAGGCATATATCACCAAGTCCAGCTTCCCTCTTCTGAGAGAGAGTATCAGGTACTTTTCTGTACTGTACTAGCTTAGAATCATGATCCTCTCAATTTCAGTCGCTCATGTAGGTTGTGATTAATAGCCATAGCTATTGGGGGGGGGGTCTCTCCAACTTTTCTGTCTAAGCTAACCTTGAGTTACAAACTTCTTAGTCTCTCACATGGCTAGGATTACAGATATAAGCCACTGGTACCTTGCTAAAAGACAACAGTCAGAGTATGGAAGATTTGTAAGTCAAAGTGATACTTGTATAGCAGATTTAATGACTATGGTTTAAATTATCTTTCAGGGACTATATCTGGGTGTTCAGAGACAATATCATCTACAGAATATTTAAAGAAATAAACTTACATTAAAAAGGGGTTAAGCCAGGCTCAGGCCTGTAATCCTGACTACTCAGGAGGTTGAGACCTGAGGCTCTCGGTTCAAAGCCAGCCCAGGCAAGAAAGTCCGTGAGACTCTTATCTCTGATAAACTACTCAGAAAAAGCCAGAAGTGGTGCTGTGGCTCAAGTGTTAGAACACTAGTCTTGATCACAAAGAGGCTCAGGGACAGATTCAGAGCTGGTTTTCAGAAGGCTTGCTAACATTTTGACTTCCAGGGAAGAGAAATCCATTTGGGAAAGTGTCTGTTACCCGCCGTCTCCTGTGCCCAGCTGGGACAATTCAGTAAGTTGATGACAAAGAGGAAAGTCCTTGGATTTCATGGGGATCACGAGGGAGGAGACTTCCTACATATACTTCACATTTTAAAAGACAATATTTTAGCACTTTTGACAGTGGTGGGGAAGATGCCAAGTCCAGAAACTCAGGCAGGACTGCAGCTAAGCAGTTCCATTTTGGCAATTTTATGGTTTAGGCCTTGATCACTCAAAACAGATTTTTTAAGCAATATCATACAAGAGAGACTGTATAGTCAATAAATATCCCTCAGAAAAATGTCCAGCTATTTAGGGAATGACTCCATTTACACCTCTTAATATGCCATCCATTCCAAATTAATACTAGAATCAGGTTAAAGATTTCAGTCTAAAAAACAGAATCTTTCAGAAACCAACCAAGATGGAAATGTACATAATCTTTTTCTTTTTGGAAGGGGGGTACTGGAGACCGAATCCAGAAGCTTCTGCAGGCTGAGCTACAATTTTATGATTGTAAAAATGTTTTTATTGTAAAACGGAGTCTCCCTAAATTGCCCAGACTAGCCATGGACTTGTGGTCCCCTGCCTCAGTCTCCCAAGTAGCTGGGCTTACAGGCTTGTATCACTATGTCTGGCTACCAATACCACTTTCTTTCCAGTCCTAGGGCTTGAAATCAGTTCCTAAGCCCTGTTTCTGGGCTTTTTTTTTACTCAAGGCTACTGCTCTACCACTTGAGCCACAACTCCACTTCCATCTTTTTGGTGATTAAATGGAAGTAAGAATCTCATGGACTTTCCTACCTGGGCTACCTCCAAACAGTGATCCCCAGATCTCAGCCTCCTGAGTAGCTAGGATTAAGTCATGAATCACTGATGCCTGGCTATCAGTAATTGTCCAGAAACTTATGAATTCAAATTATGAACAGTACTTACTAAATATGTGTGTGGACTTAAAAACTCTGCTGACAAATTCCATCTCAGGTAGTGAACGTTGGATCTTGACTGAAAGAATTAAGTTCTTTAACATTTAGAGTTCTAGATAGTATAGCAGAATTTTTAAAACTTAAGAACTTACGATCAGAGGTTTTGAGACTACCATAGGCAAAAAGGTCTTGAGACACCATCTTAACCAATAAAAAGCTAGCCCTAGGAGCATGGGCCTGCCATCCCATCTCCATGAGAAGGATAAACAAGGAGGATCAAGGTCTAGGCCCATATGGGCAAAGAAGTGAGACCTATTAAAAAGGTAACTAAAGCAAAAATGGCTGGAAGTGTGACTCAAGTAGCAGAACATTTTAGGATCAAGTTGCTTAGGGAAAGACTTGGAAAAAATTATATTAAGTGAAGTAAGCCAGGCCCAAAGAAACATAGGTCCCATGGTTTCCCTTATTTGCAATAACTATGTCTGGGAGAAGCAGAAAAGGTCAAAAGCTACGTACATATGACCCGATAAGATGATATTAGGTGAAATGAACCCCAAGATAGGGACACAAGTGGTTTTTTTTTTCTTGCTATCGTTCCTAATGATTTATAATGTACCATGTGAATTTTTGTTTCTTTATATGTTCCTCCTTCACAGCATAACCCTTGTTTTCACTGCATTTGATGTCAGTGCCCTGCATATTGTATACACACTTTTCTAATCTGGGGAGGGGAAAGGAAAAAACAAAATGCTTAAATAGGGATACTGTTGAAAAACGAACTTTACAACTTTTGGGAGGGAGGGAGGAAGGAGTTGGAGAGGTGGGGAGGGAAGGGATGGTAGGGGAAAAACAAAGGAGGAGGCAACAATGCTCCATAGGAAATATACTCATTACCTTGCTCATGTAACTGTAACCCCTCTGTACAGGATTTTTACAATAAAAAAGTATTAAAAAAGAGAAATCTGACAAAGTTAAGGAGAACTTACCTGCAGCAAATGACAGCTTTGCATGAGAGAGCTAAATCCAGGAAATACTGCTGGACTCCAAAGGTTAAGGCATACTTGAGGGTCTTTCCATCAATGATGAGAGCAAAGTCGTTCTCCTTCCGAAGAGCATCCCCAAGGGTGGTACAGTGCCGGCTCAGAGTTTCCCTCGTTCCCTGAAATAGCAAACAAAGACATCCACATTTACTCCATTTTCTCTACTAAAATGCCTGCAGGATGTTTGTTAACTATACAGTTGTTTTTGGTGCTTTGTAGCTTCCAAGTTGTGTTCACAAACCTTCATTCATTTGGTTTGGCACAACAGCCTTATCGAGGGGACTCTGGTAGACGTTCTCAGAGAACTCCATGAAGTCACACGTGTGTGTGTGCAGCAGAGCTGGCACACGCTCCCCTCCCCTCGCTGACCTGGCAGTCTTTGCTTATTATTCTAACCACACAATCACCACACTGTAAAAGTGATTTCAAGTAAATTATCTTGTTAAAAAATTCCACTGTTCTAATTTATGGACTATTCAAATCGGTTTACCATGAACAAAGGCAAAAATTGGGGAATGTAATTGAAATAATTTATGGATATTCTTTCTAAAGTACTTACTCAACGCTATTGAAATTTAATTCCCAGGAACCTAGAGGAAGGAGGAAATGCAAGGTTTGTAGTCTCCTGCCACTTCATAAATTGACTTTTATAACTGTAATCATGATTTCATGATGCTATATTTCAGTTGGGAATGGTGACATGTGGCTTGATCATCTTTATTGAGCAAATAAAAGATGCCTTTCCATAGTTCGCTTCCTGGGTATAGTGAAAACCTTTAGTGTCAAGGAGAACTTTGAGAGAGAGATGTATCTGTCTCTGGCAAGAACTGTGATCCGGCTTTTCAAAGGGAAGAAGTTTCAAAATGTTGACTTTTCCTTCCCAAATACAACATTTTCTTCTTTTACTTGCTTCCTCCTATTCCCATTCCACAGAGCCCCAACATTCTGAGGGAAGACAACACTGGCTCTGCACCATGAAGAACAAGTCCCGCTCCTAGGTTTTTGTTGATTATTGTTTGTTGAAGTTATTTAATACAAGTATATGTTTATACAATAAAATATAGCAATGATAAAAATATAATACACAGAGAACAAATTTAATTCTATTCAAGACTGATATAATTATTGTTCCAATTTAAGAATGTGTCCAGTCATTGCTCAAGAAGGGAAGCAAAGGTACAGGTAATTAAATTCATATGTGAAGGATAGGGATGGTGGCTTATGCCTGCAATCCTAGCTACTCAGGAGGCTGAGATTGGAAGGGTCACAGTGCAAGGTCATCCTGGGGAAAGTAAGCTTATAAGACCTCATCTCTATCAAAGAAAGCTAGGTGTGGTGGCATGTACCAGTTATTTTAGCTATAGTGAGAAGCACAAATAGGAGAATCACAGTCTGGGTAGGCCAAGGTTAAAAAAAAAAAAAAGGCCAATCTCAAAAATAACCAGAAAAAAAAGGATTAGGGGTATGGCTAAAGAAGTAGAGTACCCAAGCTGATTCAAAACTTTGGCAAAGTAGCAGGGTATAAAATTAACCCTCAAAAATCAAGGGCTTTTCTGTATGCCAACAATGAGAAAAGTGGGACTGAAATTAGGAAAGCAACTCCATTCATAATAGCCCCACAAAAAATAATATACCTAGGAATTAACTTAACCAAAGGAGTGAAGGACCTCTATGATGAAAACTTTAAAAACTTGAAAAAGGAAATCAAAACAGAACTTAGAAAGTGGCAAAAACTCCCATGCTCCTGGATTGGAAAGATCAACATCGTGAAAATGGCAATACTTCCCAAGGCTATCTACAAATTCAATGCGATACCTATCAAAATTCCAACCTCATTCTTCAAGGAAATAGAAGAGGCAATCCAAAAATTCATATGGAACAATAAAAGACCCCAAATAGCAAAAACGATCCTCAACAGAAAGAACACTGCTGGAGGAATATCAATACCAAATTTCAAACTCTACTATAAAGCCATAGTAATCAAAACAGCTTGGTACTGGCACAAGAACAGACCTCAGGACCAATGGAATAGAATTGAAAACCCAGAAATGAACCTACAGACCACCTATAGCCATGTAATCTTCTATAAGGGAGCTAAAAAAATAGAATGGAAGAAAGACAGCCTCTTCAGTAAATGGTGCTGGCAAAGTTGGTTAACTACTTGTAGAAAACTAAAGCTAGATCCTTATATATCACCCTGCACCAGAATCAACTCCAAATGGATCAAAGACCTCCGAGTCAAAGCAGACACTCTGAAAACATTGCAGGATGGAATAGGAGAAACCCTAGGTCTTGTTGGCACAGGCCAAAATTTTCTTAATAGAGACCCAGAAACACAACAAATCAAAGAAAGGTTGGACAAATGGGATTGCATGAAAATGCAGAGCTTCTGCATGGCAAAGGACATAGCTAGCAAGATCAATAGAAAGCCCAAGGATTGGGAGAAGATCTTCACTAGTCGTATAACACACAAGGGTCTCATCTCTAAAATATACCTGCAACTCAAAAAATTAAATCCTCCAACAACAAATCCTCAAAGAAACAACTGCCCAATAAAACAAGTGGGCTAAAGACTTAAAGAGAAACTTCTCTGAAGAGGAAAGAAGGATGGCCAATAGACACATGAAGAAATGCTCAACCTCCTAGCCATAAAAGAAATACAAATCAAAACAAGATTGAGATACCACCTCACCCCAGTTAGAATGGCTTTAATCAAGAACTCTAATAACAACAGATGCTGGAGGGGATGTGGACAGAAGGGAACCTTACTGCATTGTTAGTGGGAGTGTAAACTTGTTCAACCACTTTGGAAAGCAGTATGGAGGTTCCTCACAAGACTCCACATAGAGCTCCCTTATGACCCAGCAATCCCATTTTTGGGCATTTACCCAAATGCTTACAAACAAGACTATACTAAAGCTACCAGCACAACTATGTTTATTGCAGTATTATTTACTATAGCTAAGATATGGAACCAATCCAGATGCCCCTCAGTAGATGAATGGATCAAGAAAATGTGGTATATATACACAATGGAATTCTATGCCTCCATCAGAAAGAATGACATCGCCCCATTTGTTAGGAAATGGAAAGGCTTGGAAAAAATTATATTAAGTGAAGTAAGCCAGGCCCAAAGAAACATAGGTCCCATGGTTTCCTTTATTTGCAATATCTAGTATATGTCTGAGTCAAGCAGAAAAGGTCAGATAAGTTGATATTAGGGAAATGAACCCTAAGAAATGTATTCAAATGTTTTTTTTCTTTCATGCGATTGTTTCTAACACATTTATAAGATTATTTCTTTGTTGCTTTGTATGTCCCTCCCCCACAGTATAACCCCTGCTTTCACTGTATTTGATGTTGGTATAATTTGTGGAGGGGAAGGGGAAAAACAAATCGTTTAAATTGGGATACAGGTGGAACCATTGCAACAAACTTTACAACTTTGGTGCGGGGTGGGGGGGGGGGTGGAGGTGAGGGGAGAAGAGACAGGGAGGATTGGATAGAGGGGTGGGAGGAGGCTGGGAAGGGATGGGAAGGGGAAACAAAGGAGGAGGCTACAATGCTTGATAAGAAATATACTCATTATCTTGCCCATGTAATTGTAACCCATCTGTACAGTATTTTCACAATAAAAAAAAAAGAAGTAGAGTACCTGTCGGATGGGTACAAAACGCTCAATTCAGACCCTAGTACTAGCTTGGGAATGGGGCTTAGTGGTACAGTGCTTGCCTAGCATGCACGAAGCCCTGGGTTTGATTCCTCAGTGCTACATACACAGAAAAAGCAAGAAGTGGTACCATGGCTCAAGTGGTAGAGTAGTGGCTTTGAGCAAAAAAAAGCTCAGGGACAGTGCCCAGGCTGAGTTCAAGCCCAAGGACTGGCAGACATATCCCACCCCCGCTAAACAAAACAAAACAAAAAAAAATCCCCTAGTACTGCTAAATAAAATATATGTGGGAGTCGTTGGTTTTTTGTTTTTTTGTTTTTGGTGCTGTGCTTCTACTGGGCCTTGAACTACTCTATTTTTGGCTTTTTCCTGGTTAACTGGAGATAGGAATCTCTCAGATTTGTCTTCTCTGGCTGGTTTCAAACCAGGGTTCTCAGATGTCAGTCTTCTGAGTAGATAGGATTATAATTGTGAGCTACCAGCTAATGTGGGAAAATTTAAAGGTGTTCCTGTACTTGTGTACATATGTAGTTCATCTGTAAGTTCTAGAATCACACAGACTATGTTGTGCTGTAAAGTAAGATTGCCAGATATCCAGTACTGGCATTTCACTCAATTGTTTCCCATTCTGTTTACCCACAGTGACACAAAGGACCAAATTTCTTTGCAAGATTTTCCATTTACACTTTACTTCAAAGGGGGACAATCAGCCGTTTCATTTCTAAGCGTTCTCTTTCTGGCTGCAGGTCTTTGCAAGAGGAATGAATAAAAGAAGGTGGAGAAAAAAAAGCCAAATTCTGCCAATACAACTTATTAGTGGCCATCTACAGTGTGTTAACCTTGGAATGTCTTAAAAGCAAATTCACAATGGAGGGGGTAACAATGTTCAAGAGGAAGTGTACTCATTACCTCACTCATGTAACTGTAACCCTCTGTATAGTAGCTTTACAATAAAATAAAATTAAAAAAAAAAAAAAAAGAAAATAACAATGAAATCACTAAGAATGTTTTAAAGGGAAACAGGAAATAAGTACTAATAGAGCAAATTAATTTGACCAAAATATACTATATGCATGTATGAAAATATCACAGTGAAACCCAATTGTATAATTTGTTAATAAAAATTAAATTAAAAATGTAATCAAAAAAAAAAAAAGCAAATTCAAATAGGTTAGATGGAAAAATAAGTCAATGAACTGATCAAAACAAAACCGTATTTTGCATGCTACGTTGGGTCTAGAGCCATATGCAGACATGCAGCTTTGAAGTTGACACCATGAGCATAGGTTTGACTTTGACATCCTGCAGGGGATCAACAAGCTGCCTCCTAAGTGGCAAAACCCATCCCGGAGTTAAACCTCTGTGCCAGCTCATCTTCTCAAGCCTGTTGTCCTCTCAAGGCAGAAAAATGAACTGAACTTCAGCAGCATCAGGCACAGAAAGTTCTAG